TGTACTATAGTATATTGGGGTGTATAAAGGGGTAGTGGAAAAGAAAATGGAAGCTACAATAGTGTATTGGGGCGTATATAGGGATAATGGAAAAGAACATGGAAACTACAATAAGGACCTTATTATGAGGACTCCCCACAAAGGGCCTCCATTTTTCGGGAGCTCCCAACCCTAAACCCTCTAACCCTAACCCCAATGTTCGAACTGCGGACGAGTGGGGCAGCTGTGTATAATGCATGCGCGCCTTCATCACCCTGGCCGCGTTCTGTACACCACAGTATGATCAACATGATTCTTACTTGGATTGTTATTACTGTTATAGTTATTATTGTTGCTATTTTGGTAGTTGTTGTCATTGCGATTCTTACGTGTCGTGTTACCTTAATTGTTGTTACTACACCTTGACAGGTTCGCCTGCCTCCAGATCAGCGTGACGCCAAAGTACGCCAACAGGCAGGAGGTCACCCTAGATCCTTAAACCCTAAGCCCTAAACCCTAATCCCTAAACCCTAAACCCTAAACCCTAAACCTAAACCCTGAACCTAAACCCTAAACCCTAAGCCCTAAACCCCTAAACCCTAAACACCTGGGAGGGATCCTGATGACATTCATTCTCAGGTGAAATGGCAGATGGCTCCTTTCCGCAGATGCGCAAGTGAACTGCGTGCCCATGGCAGCACGCTCGGCTTATCGAGCCTGTCAGGTTGGTTTCTACTAGGCCTTGACTTGTGTCATGATGCGCAGTCCGGGAGAAGCTGAATGGAAACGAGCTGGAGAAGATGTGGAATCCTAGGTGGGAGTTCTGGAACATCATTTTGCGCCCTTCTTGCGGGTCTTTACGGATGGTAAGTCTCGGGATACTTACTTGAGGGATGCCATTTCCATGGCTATTCTGGGGGGATCTGTGCAGCTTCGCAGGTCCCAGGAACCGCACTCGGCGGACAAGAGCAGGAGCGCAGCCCTACGTGCAGAGACGCAGACGGCCATCCACAAGTGGAAGAGGCGATCCGGCATGTAATGTCCTGCTGCTACCTAGTAACACTATTAGAGGAGCAGATGAAGCCCATCATGCTATAATATACTGTAATATATTATGCTATACCATAGTATACTCTTATATAGTATATTGGAACATACTATAATATACTGTAATGGCGTGTGTCACAGAAACTTGTAACTTCCGTGTTGTTTATGCTTGGAGCAGGCATGCTCCCTCGGTGCTTGGTGTTGCGGGATCCTTGAGTTCCTCCAACCTCAAACTTTATAACCCTAAACCCTGTAACACTGACCTCTACAACCTTATAACCCTATAATTCTAAACCCTGTAACCCTAACCGTATAACCCTATAACCCTATAACCCTATAACCCTATAACCCTCTAACCCT